TGGCCTCAGGTGAACCGCCTGCCTCGGCCTCCAAGTGCTGGGATTACAGGCGTGAGCCACTGCGTCTGGCCCAAAAGTTTTTAAAAAGGAGTCTCTTGGGATCAAAGGGACAGAACATTATTGTTTTTCTTCATAAACCTTTTGGGGCAATCTGATTTCCTTTCTTTAAACTATGTACCTGCACTATTTTTATTTCAAAAAGGTTCTTAACGTATTTAAAAACCAAGAATGATTCATAATATACCGTTAGGCTGTTGGGAGGTCTTAAGCACAATATGAACCGTAAAATAAGCTCGTAATTATCTCCTTAAAAACCAGTGGGATGCAAACTGCACTACGGAGACGCCCTTAGCGGTTGCTGGCTTGTGGCAGAAACCCGGGCCTTCAGCGCGGGCGGGGCGGGGCGGGGCCGCGGGACTCTCGCTCCTCGCGGGAGGCGGTGGCTGCGGAGTGCGCACGCGCGGAGTCGCAATGTCGTTCTTCCCGGAAGTGCGCTGGTGGTGCTGGGAATGGGCAGCAAGATGTTGGCGGATGCAGCTGGGAGGAGTTAAGCAGTGGGAGCTGGCGTTTAGTTCAGGTTTTTTCTCTTTTTCGTGTAGTTCGAGAAGACCACTCGCTGCCCGTCTGGCACAGTCGTGGATGAGCTCCCTGGCAATTGAAAAGGGAAAGGCAGCGCTCCCGACTCTGGGGACTGAACTCCGCAGTAGTCACAGCTGCCAGACCCTGAGGAGAGGACGAGAAGACCCGATCCCTCTGCTACCAACACTGGCAGCTAATGGAAAATTCAGACGGAATTGGGACAGTATGCAGAGTTCTCTAAGCGACAGATTATCAGAGTCTCTTGAAAAGGTTGTCTGTGTAATTACGTGTTCTGGTCTTGAAGAAGTTAACTCTGTAATCACGTGTTAATCACGTGTTTTGCTCAAAAGAAGTCCTGAATGCCCGGTTGCCTTATTTGGCTTCCAGGGTTGATGAAAGAAAAAGCAAAGTCAGTATTTTCTTTTCTTTATTTTTTATTTTTTTAAGAAAAAAATATTTTTTAAAGACGGGGTTTCACCATGATGGCCACGCTGGTCTTGAACTCCTGACCTCAGGTGATCCACCTTGGCCTCCCAAAGTGCTAGGATTAACAGGCGTGAGCCACCGCGCCCGGCCACAAAGTCAGTATTTTCTAATGCTAAGTCATTTAAGGGGGCACCATTTCTTGAACTTCTTTCTTCTCTAAGGTCATCCCTTTGACCTGATGACGACTTTTGGGATTCATACAGGCAGGTGTAAACTTGGAGATCTTCCTGAACATTGCAGTATGTTTTGGGTTCGTTCAAGGCAGAGATTCCTTGCAAAAGCATCGAAAACAATGTAAAATCGAAGAAAGTACAGCAATACCTCCATAGTTGGAAAATATAGAGAAGGCTAATTAAGGGACAGAAAAAGAAGTGCAGAGAATCTTGGAATTGTTGCAAAATTATTCTGGAGATATTTCTAAGTCTCCTGTCTCCTCTAGCCTTTTCCTTAGTGATTGATACATGTTTTTATCTTAAGCGGATAGTAAAATTCAAACAGAAAGAGGTATTTGTTATAGGTATATGAGAAAAGGTATATGAAACCTATTTTCTTTTTTTTAAAATATATTTCCCTAAGATTAAAAACAAAACGAAACCTATTTTCAAAGTATATCTGAAATTTGTGTTTACAATATCTCTTTCCTGCGAGTTTATAAAGATGTTAGTATGCTGTGGGAAACAAATTGGCACAATAAAAGAGAAAAAATGAAAAAAATCAGGCCCAACTTTCACTTTACAGATGAGGAAACTGTGACATAGGGAAATGACAAAGATCACACTGCATCAGACCTGGGAACTGGAGCCTAGCCGTGCTCCTTGGCCCAGTGCCTCTTCTTACTCTAGGAGCTCATACCCCTTTGAAAGAAGCAATGTGAATGTGTCTTCAAATGACGCTCATAGATCTCTTCATCATACTGAGGGAGGAAGATAGGGGGATTAGTTCTTCTGGATCTAGACAGGATTTTAAGAAAATCTTAGCAGAGCTTTTACTAAATGATAAAGACTGGCACCTGAAATAGGTGAAATCCTTTTTTTAGAGTAGCTTAAGTAGGGACTGAATAATCACTAATTGGGGAATTCAAACCTCTGAAATCTCTTCCATCTGTAGGTCTGATTATTTGGTTACTGTTTTCAGCATTTGTGGGCAGGAAGCATGGGAGGGGGGAGAACACTAATCCCTCTTCAAAGCCTACTTTGAATAGGTATTATGTTTGCATTTTCACGTTATTTCACTTAGTCTTCACCATAGGCTTTCTAGATTGGTATTATTCTTAGTCTACCTAAGGAGTTCACAAAGGTTAGGTAACATGCTGCAAGCCACACACATGATAGGCAGCACAACCAGACAGTATTACACAACTCCAGGTGGGTGAGCAGATGATTACATCATTTGTTCCCTAGCCCCTCCCTAGTGTAGGTAAGCCCGTGCATTGCTCACTGGGTCATGGGGGCAAGTTACTCCCACTGCCCTCTTGGTCTAAGGACTAGCGACAAAACTGCAAGAGAGGCCCACTTCTACTAGGAGAAAGGCATTTTGATTGGCATCTCTTCACAGAGGCTCCAGTGTTCTGGAGTTTTGTGTACAGGAAGAGTCTTGAACAATGAAGCCAAAGCTTGCTTCCAAAATTCCCAGTTTTGTGGTTCACGGTGCATGAAGAGGCTTGAGACTTACCCTTGAGACAAGCTGGGACCATGATGATAAAAACTAGTTTGTGAAGGGAGGAGGCTGGGCTGATGGGAGCTAGGGAGGTAGATAATATCTGGACCTTCGGTAGTTCGTGTTATTCAAAGTCAGCGAGGTTTTTGTTGTTTTTTGAGACAGAATCTTGCTGTATTGCCCAGGCTGGAGTGCAGTGGTGCATTCTCAGCTCACTGCAACCTCTGCCTATTGGATTCAAGCAATTCTTGTGCCTCAGCCTCCCAAGCAGCTGGGACTACAGGTGTGGGCTACGAGGGTTGGCTAATTTTTTGTTTTTTTTTGAGATGGAGTCTCTCGCTTTCTCCCAGGCTGGAGTGCAGTGGCTTGATCTCTGCTTACTGCAACCTTCGCCTCCTGGGTTCAAGTGATTCTCCTGCCTCAGCCTCCCGAGTAGGTGGTATTACCGGAACCCCCAACCACACCTGGCTAATTTTTTATATTTTCAGTAAAGATAGGGTTTCACCATGTTGGCCAGGCTGGTCTTGAACTCGTGTCCTCAAGTGATCTGCCCACCTCAGCTTGCCAAAATGCTGGGATTACAGGCATGAGCCACGGTACCTGGCCAAGATCATTTGATGTTCTTGGGTGAATGGCCACTTTCACCTGGATCCAACCAATTTTTGGTGCCCCAGGGAGCATGATCCAGACTTCCCTTAAGATAGAGGGTGTGCTAAAGGCAAACTCCAGAAGTACCCTATCCCCACGCATTCTGCCTTTCTAAAGATAAGCTCTTCTGCTCTGCTGTTACACTCAGTACTCTAGATTAAACCTCCTTCCGATGTTCATTCTGTACCCATGACGACATTTCTGCTTCCTGGAATGTTGTAGCCTTAGGGATGAAAATCTCACCCATCAGTTGTGGTCTGCCTGAGGCAAGTCAGTCACCTTCCTACTCTGCTGTCTTCCACTGCTAGCACTTGGCCACAGAACCAAGCACTGACTCAGCAGACTCCACAGTCTGGTTCCTTTTCAGCCTCTGCCCACCCCTACAGCCCATCCTGCATCATCCATTCTGGCCATCTCAGATCCTTCCTGCCTTGCTCACTCCCACTTCCCCTGCATCCGGCCCTCTATACTTTCATCTGTTTGAACACACTTTTCTCCCCACATCCTGGGCCTCCATTCAAATCTTCCTCTTCCCTGGAAGTACAGCTTCAGTGGTTAACATCACAAAGCAAAACTGACTTCAACAAACTCCAAGACAACCAGGGACCAACACGGTTCAGATAAATGGGGTACCCAGGCGGCTTTAAAATCACTTGTAGTTCAGAGGTCACCCAGGGCATTAGGATCCATGCAGAGACCTGCAGAGCCAACCTGCTTCCCCAAAGCACCCCTTCATGCTGCCAGAACTTGAGCTGCCTCTCAGGAGAAACCGGGCTGCTACAGCTGAGTCACACAGGTGGCTGTGGGCCAGCGCGGAGCAGAACTGTGTTGCTTGGCATTTCTCCCAGTTCCTCTCGGGGCAGACTTCTGTGACTGTACAGGGATTCATATTTACCATTGCACTCCACACGGAGACACTTTAATTTCTGTAAAAAGAATTTATTCACCCTAGGGTTCGCTCCCACCTTAGCCCCATTCTCTGCGCCTTTCCCTCACTCATCACAGTATCCAAGTCATCCCCAAATGGGATTGCTGTGCTTCAACACCTCCCATGATGCCTCTTATCCTCCACATGCATTTAGTTAGTTCCTGAAGCCTACAGTCCCCTTGACCTGCAAACCCCACCTTGCCAGGTTGGAGAAGTCCTGGTACCCGGCGCAGTCTGCTTTGTTTTACAGTGTCAGTGATCTCACAAACAATGGCTGGCCACACAGTCCTATCTATAACTTCCAGCAGATAACTCAAGTGGGTGACTGGGGGGCAGGAGCCAGGTCTTGGTTCCTGTGTGTGCCCCAGGCCCCCCAGCAAAGGGCCCACCCTTTCATCTGGCTCAGCCAGGTCTTCCAGAATGGGCTCTGCTGAGATCCAAACACATTGGCTATTTGTGAGGTTAACTCATGGTTGGGCGCAGTGGCTCACATCTATAATCCCAGCACTCTAGGAGGCCAAGGCGGGCGGATCATCTGAGGTCAGGAGATCAAGACCACCCTGACCAACATGGAGAAACCCGGTCTCCACTAAAAATACAAAATTAGCTGGGTGTGGTGGTGCATGCCTGTAATCCCAGCTACTTGGGAGGCTGAGGCAGGAGAATCACTTGAGCCCGGGAGGCAGAGGTTGTGGTGAGCTGAGATTACGCCATTGCACTCCAGCCTGGGAAACTGTCTCAAAAAAAAAGAAGAAAAAAAACCGTCTTCCTGGAATCCAGCAGGTATTCAGTTTATGGCCGAATCTCAAGGGAATAAAGGGAAAAGTGGGTCCAATGTCCTTTGGATTATCTTTACAAAGCAAGCGCTGTCTGTAAACTTGTAATCTTCAGAACAAATGCTGGCCTGTCCAGGTCTGTCCACAGGACAAGTCTTAGCTCCATTATGAGCTATGATGTCAACCAGCCACACTCAGTGGCGGCTCCTGGTTCCTCACTTTCCAGGGCGGCTTCTGCAGCAGCTTCAGTTCCTGCCACGGAGTCAGTGCAGATTGATTCCCACTGCATTACTGAACATAACTCCTGATCCTGGGCTCTGAGCTGGTCAGCTGGCTCCAAAGGTGTTAATCATCAGCACTCAGGTCTGCTGTCCTCACGGAGTCCCAGTGCACCTGGGATCCGAGTATCTCCACCTTGTCTTTGCTCCCTTCAAGGTTCACATCCTCAGGGTCCCACTGTGGAGAAAAGATACAAAGGGTACCTGGGTGGCATGGATGCTTCTCATCTGTTGAACCCCCGCCCACCCCCCAAACAACAGCTCCAATCCTGTTTCTCATGATCCAGGCACAGACAAGGACAAAAGGGTAAGGACAAGTCACCCAGGCCTGTGTTTCTAGGACATAAGGAGGCAAGCATAACTTTAAATCACGGAACTAATGAGCATCCACCCAAAACATAATAGCTCACTTTCTTTCCACCCTCATTTTCCACTGTTCTCTGCCTCTACCAAGTCCTTGTCTAGTAAGGCTGAGTCATGTTCTGTTTATCCTGACTCCATGCCTAACTCATTCCTGGAAAAAACGCAGGCAAACTTAATCCTTTTTTATTTTATTTGTTAAAGACAAGGTCTTGCTCTGTCACGCAGGCCGGAGTGCAGTGGTGCGGGCATAGCTCACTGCTGCCTCAAACTCCTGGGCTCAGGCAGTCCTGCTTCGGCCTCTCGAGTAGCTGGGACTACAGGCATGTACTACATGCCTGGCTAGGTTTTTAATTTTTAGTAGAGATAAAATCTTGCAGTGTTGCCCAGGCTGATCTTGAACTCCTGGACTCAAGCAGTCCACCCGCCTCACCTCCCAAAGTGCTCAGCCTTTACCAGGTTGAGCCACCACGCCCAGCTTCAGCCTGTTCTTTATGGGCCAGGTAAATACCTTTTCAGGAAGCCTGCCCTGACTGCGTTAGCCCATTGAGCTCGCACCTGCATCTTGCTTTGTATTACCTGTTCCACTCATTTGCACCTGACCTGAGCACAGACAGCCCTGCCGTTTATTTGGACATCTGCCTTGTTGTCTCAGGTAAACGAGCTCCTCAGGAACACAGCAAAGTTTCGCTCTTGCCTCCTACATGGTGCTTCCTCTAAGCCTGAGGCTCAGCAGACTTGTCAACACTTAAAACCCAATTCAGAGTGGTGGGCACTGCCAGTGACTATTTCATCACTGACTCGGAAGAGTATGGGAAATTAAAATTTGCCGGGGTAAGAGTGAAAAGTTAAAACAAGTGGGCATGCCGGGCGCAGTGGCTCATGCCTGTAATTCCAGCACTTTGGGAGGCCGAGGCGGGCAGATCACGAGGTCAAGAGATCGAGACCATCCTGGCCAACATGGTGAAACCCCATCTCTACTAAAAATACAAAAATTAGCTGGTCATGGTGGAGCCTGTAATCCCAGCTACTCGGGAGGCTGAGGCAGGAGAATCACTTGAACCCGGGAGGTGGAGTTTACAGTGAGCTGAGATGGCGCCACTGCACTCCAGCCTGGGCAACAAAGTGAGACTCCATCTCAAAACAAAAACAAAAACAAACAAAAACAGGTGGGCACATAAGCATTGAAGAAGCTGTCTGTGAAGTCCTCCCGTTGTTCTGACATGATGGATTAGAGCCCAAGGGGCTCCTTAGTGTTACCTTTGCAGTTCCAGCCATGGAGGCAGTTAGGGATTGGTCTCAAGTCCTCCTCCTGTCACTAATTTGCCTTCGTTTTCTGGGGCCTCAGTTTCCCCATGTGTAAGCTGTGGTATTGGATCTGCACCTAGATAAGAAGACCTCTCCCGTTTCTGAGCCTCTTTGATGATTTTGAGGCACAAAGTCCCATTCGACAGTACCAGGAAACCCAGGAAACAAGCAGAGCTGACATAGGATGTGTCCGCCTGGGCAGATGATCTGTTTGGATAAGATAACAGAGCCAGGCATGGACATGCCCTCCAAGAAAGATGCTCTAACACTGCTCAAACTGAAGCGGAATCAAACATTCCGATCCTTAGAGGTCCCAGATCTTGAAGGCCCCCTGAGCCACTGACGTCATGCCCATGCCATGGCAATTAGAAAACACAAGTTGCGGCTTTGTTTTGAACAGAAATAAAGAGCCCAGTTTGTTAGTGATACACTGATAATAACTGAATCAAGTTCTAATACTTGGTGATTTTAAAAGCTATCATGTTAAAAAGACCACCTGATCCCCAGTGACCTGCAGTGACTTGGTCGGTGCCGCTCATCCCCTATTTGGGCCTGTGCCAGCCACTTCCAAGTGCAAACATCTCATTAACTTGGATTGCAGACTCGGCTGGAGCCCTTTAACCAAATTCCTTTCTGACACTATCAGATCCCAAATAAAAGTGCCCACCAGGCCCCTCAGCCTACATGATCCACCTCCCCAGTGAAAGAAGGAGGGCCCCGTTCTGTTCTCTGAGGATGGCCAGTGTGCTCTTTGATGAAAACTGTTTCCCAGCTGAGGTCTGAGACCTAGATCATTGTTGTCAGAGTGTGTTCTTGGCCAGTCACACCAGACGCACCCAGACTGCTGGCTGAAAACACTGATGCCGCCTGGGGGCGGTGGCTCACGCCTGTAATCCCAGCATTTTGGGAGGCTGAGGCGGGCGGATCACGAGGTCAGGAGATGGAGACCATCCTGACTAACATGGTGAAACCCCATCTCTACCAAAAACACAAACAATTAGCCGGGTGTGATGGCACGCACCTGTCATCCCAGCTACTCGGCAGGCCAAGGCAGAAGAATCGCATGAACCCAGGAGATGGAGGTTACACTGAGCTGAGATCGCACCACTGCACTCCAGCCTGGGTGACAGAGCACGACTCTGTCTCAAAACAAAACAAAAACGCACTGATGCTGGGGGCCCACCCTAGCCCCCAGGTAGGGGGTTGAGACCTAAGGTTTAGCATGTCTACAAGCTCCTAGAGTGATTCTTAGATGACCTGATAATTGAAAACCGCTGTTCTCGCTTCTTAAATATCTGCTTAAGAATTATTCTTGCCAACCCTGACCAGTTCAGGTGCCTGCAAACAGAAACAACCTGTCCCTTTGATCTAAATGAGCCTTTAAACTGGTACAGGGTACGTGCCACCACACCCAGCTAATTTTTGTATTTTCAGTGGAGAGGGGGATCTCCTATGTTGGCCAGACTGGTTTCCAAGTCCTGACCTCAGGTGATCCGCCCCCATCAGCCTTCCAAAGTGCTGGGGTTACAGGTGGGAGCCACTGCGCCCAGCCTAAAACTTCATTTTATGATAAACCACTCCTGGAAACCAGGCATGAAGAGAATCTGAGCAAAAGATGATCCATTTTCTTTTTTTTGAGACGGAGTTTCACTCTTGTTACCCAGGCTGGAGTGCAATGGCGCAATCTCGGCTCACCGCAACCTCCGCCTCCCACGTTCAGGCAATTCTCCTGCCTCAGCCTCCTTAGTAGCTGGGATTACAGGCACGTGCCACCATGCCCAGCTAATTTTTTGTATTTTTTTAGTAGAGACGGGGTTTCACCATGTTGACCAGGATGGTCTCGATCTCTTGACCTCGTGATCCACCCGCCTCGGCCTCCCAAAGTGCTGGGATTACA